CGGCTGCTGCTGCGCTGCTGCTGCTGCTGCTGCTGTTGCTGCTGCTGTTGCTGTTGCTGTTGTTGTTGTTGTTGCTGTTGTTGCTGCGTCTGCCGTTGTTGCTTCCATGCCTTGTGGCTTGATGCTGTGGGCAATTGTGACAATGCAAAGCTTGGGCAAGTTGTTATTATTGATTTTTTTGCCGCTGCGACATCTTTGTCCGATGTACTATAAACTACCTATTGAAACATCACAGCAGGGCAATGAACAGCTTGGAGTGTCAAATTCGCCCTTGACAAAGTGATGGAAGTCTCTCGTCCCGAATAAGTTTACTGCTGCAAAACTTGCAGCAAGCGATCTGCCACGGGCACCTCTGCACAAGGAGGAATTCGTTCGCCTTTCCGCAATCGAAGCGGTGCGTGGGCCTGTGCCTGAGAAAGTCCCAGGTATCCAGCCGGAAGTCGGACTAGTTTCGGCCGAGGGATCGACTGCCCCCTCGAATTCAGGCCTTCTACCCGTATATTGCAATACCCAAATCAAATACCACCTCTTGCCGACAAGCTGCGACAAGCTGCAGCCCAACATCCGACCACGGAGAATCCGAATCGCACGCTGAAGCCACGTAGCCCAAGCTTGTTCCCATGACAGTCAGTGAGCCTAAGCTTCCTCATGGATTCAGGTTTTCGACCATGTCTGCCGCGGAGGGGCTCCAGCCTAAGCCGCGAGGCTCTGCCCTGCAAAGGTTGGTCTGCGATTCGCGTTGTGGGACTCGTAACTGAGCTCTAGATTCTAGATAGCTTCGGCGAGATTCCGCCTGGCTCCTGCCCTTGCCAGCCAGACAATGTCGGAGGCTGACTGATGCGAGTAAGCTTCGTTGCCAACACCTCCGGGACCAGGCAATAAGGCTTCAGTACGGGCGCTCTACATGAGTCATATGTAAGCCCTACCAACTCCATAATCGGCCCCTAGCCGAGGCCTTCCGGTGAAGTTGGCAGGCACAAGAAGTCCTTAGCCCTGGCCTAAGACATGGGAGCTGCCGCAAGAATCGGCGGGATGCAAACTTCGGGGTGCCCGGAAGCCGCGCCAGAATCCTCCGATATTTCGAGCAGCCCCGACTTCTGGTTGCAACCTCAACGGCCTCAACGGTTTGGCGGCTTTGGGATGTGGGATGCTTTGGCTTTGGGACTTGAGGATGCCAACCTGTGTTCACTCACGAGGGGTTTCAAAGGCATCGCTTGCCGTTCTGCTTCTTAGCAGTCGTGCTGAAGCAGAATACCCGGAGAGGCCTGCCCTGAAGCTATAAGCCACTGAGCCTGTTCATGCTTCTAGTTTCCCCAAAGAGCTGACAGGCCTCTGGAGCTTCAAGCCTGCAGCACACTGTCACCCCGCCGTTCTAAGGGGCGTTGGACTTGTCCTAAATTGGCAGTCCTGCAGCTCCTTCCACGTATTTGCGGTGCATACCGCCTTCCCGCCACAGTCCCGTCAGTTTCCGCTCCCGAAATCGGGCGCTCCCGCCAGAGTGGCGCGCATGTTTCGGGTGTGACTCTGAAGTGCTTTTGGAAGGTTGTTGGATCTATGTGGGGCTTGGACTGCAAGGTGATGCTGTGGGGCCACAGTGTTTCACTGTTTGGGGTCTACGCTTGCATAATTCAAATTCAATCTCAACTTTGTTATGCAATTCATTTTTGTTGCCTGATGATGTTGTTGCTGTTTCGTTGGCTCCTGGAGCCCTCATTTCCGAGACCCGGTTGACCCTAAACCTTGTGTGGGACCGAGAGTCCTCGCCTGGTCTTGCCGGGTTGCGAGTGGCAAAATCCTTTGTCTCCTTGTTGAGGTGCGATTGATGCGCGAAGATCCGAGCATGGAGGTTCGGAAGATGGCAGAGCAGGCACCCGATGGCAAGAGTGATGCCACTGGCAGGTTGTGTGTGTGTGCGCGTGTGTGCGTGTGTGCGTGCGTGCGCGTGCGCGCGCGCTCGTGCATGTGGTCAGGGCTCAGGGCAAGTATAGTGTCACAAGTATCGGAGTTGTTTATGGGATAGGCCTTTGAGTAGTTGTCCTACAGCAGCAAAGAGGCTAAACAGACAGTGTGCTGAGATAAACGAGGACTTTCACTCCTCAGAATTTAGGAGTACTGTTGTGGTCTGCTCTTATTTCAGGGCTCAGGCACGGCATAGCAGTGATTGTCTCAAGACCAATCAATATGCATACGCAGGGGAATCCGCCAACCGTGTACACTCGCATGAAGGACATGGGGCAATGAGGATTAGAACCCTCCGAAAAGCATGCAATATAAGCCCCAAATTTGGCCCAACGGTGGCTCAACCAAAGGGTTAGAGACCGTAATTGTTTTTTGAAGCATCCCTAACGACGCCTGTGTCTGCCTCGTTGGAAGATTGGGTATCAGGGCGCAGCCCTTTCAGAAATAGCCAGTCCCCGGCAAAACCCTCGAGGTGTTGGACATGAAGGACTGGAAAGTCCCTCATTGGATGGAAGTCCAGAAGCCTGCCTGGCGCGTGCAGGGCTCAGATGTGCTTGCGGCAGGCTTGTACCGTCTGATCTCTCCCCGGCCCCCGATTTAAGGGGGTGGTTGTAGACTAGGGCTTTATATTCGTTGTACACGATGGTTATGGGTTTCAGAGAGGGATCCTTTCCCCGGTGCCAGACACACAGGGCAGACTGACTCCATGTGCAGCCTTAGCTTGCTAGGGCTGCTCCAAAGTGGGGTTCCCATGTAGGGGCATTTTAGAATACCAGTCGTGTTGCTATCTTTATTGTCAGGACTGCGAAGGGGGATCCTGATGTAGAGCAATACTGCCGAAACCCTGACTGCAGATCACTCAAAAGAGTTTAGTTGTGCAGATTCTCCCTGGGCACCCGTGCGTAGTTGTCATCCAGTGTTACCCAGGCTTGTGTGAAGCCTTGCCTGCCTTGTACGAGTTGTCAGAGTGGAATACGTATAGTGGAAAGCCACCAGACCCCTAGCTATAGATCATCACAGCTGCACACGAGCGACGCACCTGAGCCGAGGAGCGTGTCAAGCGAGCCATCGCCAACCGCGGCAAGGGCACCCGCAAGGGCAAGAATAGTGAGGGCACCCTGCACAAGCGTTACTGGGAGAAGCTGCCAAGATGAAGTCTAACCTAGACCCCTTGGCCCGGGATGTCTGATATCCCCCAAGAGGTGCATCGCCCATCACCCTGTCTTCCCAGCAGACCGAACATGACCGCACCCTACCTTGGTACCATGCATACGCTTAGCCGGAAGATCTGACAACTCAACCCTATACGTGCGGCCCAACCACGTCCAAACTATTCGCTTATTCGCCCACATCCTAGTCCTAGACCTGTATGCGCCGAGACCCCGCACCTCAGACTCTTATTGTTCAGCACCTCTCCCAGGCCAGCTTTCTTTCCGGTATGGACTCAAGGATCCAAGTTCAAAGGGTGTTCGGCGTTCGGACTCGGTAGAGTTTGCTGACGTCTTTTTTTGATTGTTTTTTTGCAGGTTATGGCACATGGAAAGACAGCTGATCGCGGCAATCCCGACGAACAAACCCCCACTCCTGCACGAGAAGGGGAGTTCAGCGCAGACCCTGCCCACGAGGTCACTTCGAATTGAGACATGCTGTTCGGACGTGGATCACTAGTCCTCGGGCCTCGCATTGTGGCATAGTTCAGATGCCAACAAGATGCGAGCACGTCGAGCGGAAAAGGGAGGAAGTGTGAAGTCGCTGCGAGTGGCCGTGCATTAGGCTGGAGTTCTCCTGCTCGCTGTCTGCTGCACACATGAGTTGGAATGGCAGAGCGTCAAGCCACCATAGCTGATTAAGTTAAACTCCGTCAATGGCATGTGGTGCCGCAACTGAGAAGCGGATGTGAGTCAAACAGAAATGCCTGCCGCAGCGAAGAAGTGGGCCAAAGCCGGAGAATTTCCGTGTACGGGTGGCCGGCCGTAGAGTGTAGGACTTGCTAGGGATGCATGCCCGCAATGAAACTCCGTGCCTCGACATGACTTTATGTTTGAAGATAGTTCTGGATAGCAGCAGAGGTTCTTCAAAGAAAGGCTTTCTGCTGAAAGGTTCTGACTGTGTTTGATCACGCTGCTCCGCTCTGCCGTCTTCCGTCGTTATACTATCTGGTTCCTATCTCTAATATTCTGATTCTGGCTTGCGATGCCACTTTCTGTGCAGCGTTCACACGAAGCCTTTGCAAGAATGGGTTCTTGCGACTCCTGTACAGGACAAGACGAGGAGTATCACATACTTAGGAAAGCCTGGGATGCAAACAAACAGTCAGCAGCTTCAACCCGAGACTCGGAATTTGTGTGGGCCACTGTGGATCGACGGTTTCACATGAACACTACAGAGGTCTCCACACCTGGCATTGAAACTCACACCGTGCAGAACTGAAGAGTACAGGACACAAGACCGATTCGTGAGTGCCGAAAACTTACTCGCAACAAGACTGACACAGCCCGAGCATACTCGGCAAGACCTGCGACCACCACGATTATGCTACACCCAGGTGATAGTTGCATTCATCGTAGTTACCATTTTGTTTCCATGAGTGGTCTTGTCGTTTCTTCACCGAAGGCCCCCTCGTCGCTGTTTCTTCACCGACGTACTTTGCAGGCCCCCTCGTCGCTGCCCCACTTCCGGGGACGAGTGGACCAGGTCTCCCGTGTCGAAGAAGCCGAAGGCAGGGATACCAAGAGCTCTTGGAAAGTGTTCCTTCAGGAGGGGGTGGGCGGGCGGCAGAGCAGTTACACGGGAACGATCGAGAGCGCGACTTGACTTCAATTTTCTGCTAGTCTGCTGCTAGTAGTAGTAGCAGTAGTAGTAGTAGTAGTAGTAGTAGCAGTAGCAGTAGCAGCAGCAGCAGTAGCTGTAGAATTAGCAGAAGCAGTAACAGCAGGAGTGGCAGCAGGAGGAGTGGTAGTAGTACTGGTAGACAGTTGTCATCTTCTTCGTCCTCAGCACGTAGATAGTAGATGTGGTAAATGTGATGGTAAATGTGATGT